CCCCCCCCCCCCCCCCCCCCCTCTCCCTTTCCGGCACAGCAGCGCCATGGGGCCACTTCAGTTCAGTTGACCATTCTCGGGCTGGGGATTTGGGAATTGGCGGGGGTGGGGGTCGTGTTGAACATGAGACCTCAACGTAAGAAGGCAAGCATTTCAACAACAGAACAACATTTTGTATCTTAAGCTGCCCCCCCCCCTTTTCCACCCCCTTTCTCCCCTCCCCCTGTTTTTCTCCTCCCCCAAACAAATAGGACATTTCACCCTCTGTGCGGCTTTCGGATTTGATCACAAGGTCAGAGCATGGTCACCGGTTTGACAAGGCCTGGTTTGACCTCAGGCCCTTGACCACGGACTGGCGAATGACGAAGCGTTTTTGTCCGGTGACCTGGACACGCCGGGTACTGAGGGCCTTCGGTGTAAACAAGACTAGGGCCTAGCTTGTTGCTTCATGGGATGACTAAGGTTAACTGGCGGGGGTTGAGAGATACACAAGGCGAGGGATGTTTAGTACGACGCGCTGACAATTATTTGGTTCCTTTTTTAAACTCATGATGTGACCATGTGAGGGTAACTCATAGCGTAACAGGGTTAAGGATTTTTTTTTAAAAAGAAAGAAAGGATTGGAAAACCGCTGGCAGAAATCACTTGAGAAAGGCCTACTTTTTGACCGAAGCAGGTCATAAGAGCGAACTCTGAGCTCCTATCAAGCTAGACATTTTTATTCGAAACAGATTCGAGTGCTTTCCGCAAATGGTCTATTATCCTAGTTCTGGCAGGAAAAAATCGTGATGACTCTTTGTTGCCATTTATTTATATTTCAAAGTGGCGAAGCGAAACAAAAAACCAAACAAAACACACAAAAAAAAAAAAAACAAAAAAAAAACAACCAACAAAAAACAAAACAACTACAAGAAAACTTGATCTTTAAAAAAGTGGATTTTTGTGCAAATTCTTGTCAATTTAGTAACACCAACAAGCAGTATTTTCTTGGACATGACTTGCAGAAATTCTAATACGATGATTTCTCTCTGCACTAGCTTTGCCTTCAGTTCTTCTCTCAGCCAAAAGATTTGTTTTGTTTTCTTTCCCTTTCCACATCTTTTCTCGTTTCTTCAGTCTTGCTTCAATGAATACACAAAAAAGTGGGGGAACATGTTGCGCATGTATCGGCAATATTGCTATGAAACGCTTCGCAAGCATACTTTGCTGTCCTGACGGCTGGCATGCCAGTCCACAGGTGTGGTTGGCGTAAGGGCTGCATGCTTCAATATGATTTCTAAGAGTCGAGTTAGCAAAAGCATCTGCAGCATCTCATTCTGGTTTCACTGGCATGACAGTAAATGCGAAACTCTTTCATGGTGTCAATCGCCATTGCTCGTAGATCTAAGCCAAAATGCAATTTGAGCCACTTTCCAAGTTCTGTGTCAACATCTGTCTAATTTTAAGCTCTTGTGACTTTATTTCTACTCCCACTTAATTGTTCAAAAGCTGCATGAACGTTAATTTCCCCTCCCCCCCCCTCTCTCTCTCTCTCTCTCTCTCTCTCTCTCTCTCTCTCTCTCTCTCTCTCTCTCTCTCTCTCCTCACTCCCCCTCTTTCCAAATTAACTCATGCTCCCAGAGTGTGAGCTAACCAAGACGAAACGAACAAACACAAATTAAAAACCAAAACGGAAACGGAAAAGTACCAAATACATCCACAAGTTATGCCGAGGCCATCCATCGTCATATTGTATAGCGTTTAACCTGCTTGAGATATTGATTGATTATTTATGCAGTGTGACCTTGATTATTTAACATCCACACCAGCGACAGTTACTTGAGCAAAAGGGAAAATAACCAACAAGAGCATTTTCTGGATCTAACAAGTGGGAACCGAACCCATACGCCGACGCGTCCACGGTTCTAACAAAACAGTATCTAGATTTACATCTTTATTTTTTGAAGACTTTGACATTGTACGTTCCTTAGCTGCAGTTGCAGCAACAACAACAAAATAATTAAAAGTTAAGGCACCGGTCAGCTTACCGGGACCCTCGCGTACGCACATAGGCGACATACCATTCATACACACGACACACATGTTAAACCGTACACCATTTTCCTCCTTCTCCAGCCCTCACCCCCCCCCCCCCTCTTCCCCATTCTCTCTCTTCCTCAGTAACCATGCGTATAATTAGTGTGCTTATACACAAACGAACCCTCCCCCCCTCCTCTCTCTCTCTCTCTCTCTCTCTCTCTCTCTCTCTCTCTCTCTCTCTCTCTCTCTCTCACTCTCTCTCCCTCTCTCTCTCGCTCTCTCTCTCTCACACACACACGCAAAAAAAGCAACAACAACAACACACAAACACAGACACACAAGCACACACGAACGCTAACACCAAGTAACCAACAAGACCCGAATTTCAAAAATATAAAATACATGCAATTCAAGAATACTCACCACAAAACTCAGCAGAGAAGGAGAACGTGAAAATAGCCTCCGAACTAAACAAGCCTAGATCTAGATTCTAAATGTCAGTTAGCCAAAGAGGTCCGCTATTTATTCCTGAGCCAGTGAACCAAATGGCGCGATTATAAGCTGGCCGACTGGGCGAGTCCAACTTCTTCACGGTACATAGGAGCCAACTGGGACACTCGAAACTCGAGATAGAATATTCTTCGTAACTTTGCGGACACTTTTTGAATACACTCTACATGTGTTGTTACACGTAAATGCTGTCCATTCGTAAAGGGCATAGAGCAGGGGCGGCTCGTGGGTCTAAAAAGTGGGCGTGCACAATAATTGACATAAAGCAGGTTGAAGATAGTCAAGGGCATAGTAAATGAAATGCATTCTTTTTCGTCCTACCGGTTTAGAGAAAATCTATTTGAAGAAGAAGTCTACCTTTCGTTCTTTTGCTGCGGCAAAGGTGTCCATTATTCTGTTGACGAAGTTAAGGGTGTTGTCAAATGTCCCTCTGGATCGACATAAACGTCAGTGTGATTTCTAGGATTTTGCATACTTGTCTAATGTTGTGAAGACTTTGTAGCCCTTCAGAGTTGAATCAAGGACACGGAGCAGACAAATATTTCATTGCAATATAATATTTCTAATTCTGTCTAACTTGAAAGACAGAGTGTTTCTCTGCTATACAATCCAAAGGAACTGTAGGAATTTGGAGGCGTCGACGATTGATAGTGTACTGATTTTATTTTGCTTCAAGAAATGGTCAACAATTTGATTAGTTATCATGCCATAGGTCTCCTTTGCAGCAAATTCGTTGGTATTGTGATGTCTGCTGTCTTTTGGAAGCTTGTTCCTCGGTGGTCTTACTTGTTTATGGAACGCTCAGACTGTTTTCAATTTCCTCGACGGCTGCTTTAAAAACGTTTCTAGAGCTTGTGGGGCTCCTATGGGCGTTGTACTTCTGGGCTGGGGGATTCCATACACAACATTAACGTGAGAGAACACTTTGTTTAAAAAAAGGGAAATGAAGAGAAATGTATCGCTCTTTAACACTAAATACATTTAAGGCATCACACGCTTCCTGGGCGGTATTTTCGTCCCAGTGCTCAGACTGAATTTTCTTCAAGACAGAGCTGGATCTCTCCTCATGAGCAGACTGTACTTATAACTAGAGATTGAAAATTTCATCTTGTTTCCGACGGTCGTGGAATATTCCGGTGACAAACGTGTCTGAGATCGTCAATGCGTTTGTAGAGTGGGCAAAAATGTCGAAAAGCCTGCAGCGTTAGTGAAAAATATCCTGCAGTCTGATATGCCCCGAACAACGTCTTTAAAACAAATTCAGCTGTGCGCATAGCAAGGAACAAAGGCAGCATTAGAGAAAAATTGGCGTATCTGAGTCTGTACACCAGAGACTCCCGCTCATAATTACAGCTGCCCCGTCGCAGGTTTGGCCGATCAGCAATCAGCTTCTCCTCGACACTGAATGGTTTTAAAGCTTCGTTTAGGGTTGAAACGAGCCCTGATGAAGTTCTATCTTTGGCTTCAAAAAGACTTTAGAAACCGCTCTACCGATTTTCCGTCCTTAATATACATGTAACTCAGAATGATGACAAACTGTGACAAACGATCTGCATGACTTGCTTCATAAGCCTAAACAGAAAGAAAATTGGCAGAGCGTAGGCCTTTATTAGTTCCTCGTGATATAATTTGAAAATACATGTACAGTCCAGCAGTTCGTTTTGTATTATTTTTTAGGCATATTTTACCGCAATAGTGCCTTGCAGATGGTCAAACAGTATCCTGTCAGTGTTAATGCCTCTATGTAGTAAATAAAAAAAGATACCTTTGTTTCCCGACAAATCGCCTTTTCACGAGTTCCACAGAACAAAATACACTCGTTAACCTTACACAATACGTGCCTGTTCTTTCTCACACGTTCGTTTTGGTGAGACTTTGCAATGAGATGACCAACGTCTAGCTACGCTGCTATGTATACTAATCCGAAAGTGTGATACTTAATGGCTTGCACTTTTGATGACTCGTGTCTTTAATGCTTTGTTTCACATGGACAAGATCGGTAAAACCTGTTTTAGACCACTTGGCGTTCTCAGGCCTGTCGAGAGGGGGGGGGGGTCAGGGGGGGCCAATGCCCCGGGGCCCGGGGGTTTGGGGGGCCCGCAAGCAAGGGGAAAAGAGAGAGAAAAAAGGGGAAAAAGAGATAGAGAAAGAGGGAGAGAGAGAGAGAGAGAGAGAGAGAGAGAGAGAGAGAGAGAGAGAGAGAGAGAGAGAGAGAGAGAGAGAGAGAGAGAGAGAGAGAGAGAGAGAGAGAGAGAGAGAGAGAGAGAGAGAGTACGGTACAAAGCTTTGAAATAAAACATATTTTGGCTGCAAGTTGAGCTGTATATCTGACAACTTCTCAGAACTTTGGTAGTGCTTTCTTGGACTTCTGGAATTGATTGGCCATTACGAACCTCTCCTTGCAGAGCATCTTACAAAAGTTGAAAAATCAACCCCCCAAAAAAGAAAAAAAGGAGCCTACAAGTTCCCTATCACCAGAAAGTCAAAATGAATTCATCCAATGTTGTGCATCAAAAGTGACAGACGTGATTTTGAATGAGAGAGAGGAAAGAAATATTACTCCACTGTCGTTGATGCAACACCAGACCCTTCACACGTCGAACATACTGTTTTTATTTTGCATTATGTTCACTTGGACAGTGATACAAATGCCTACAAAGAAGAAGAGAGATTTCTGAAAGGTGTAGATTGTAACAGGAAAACAGAAGACATCGCTAAAATTATCCTTGATACACTGAATAAAAAACAACAACATTCCAATTACAGACTACCGAGGCCAAGGCTACGACAACGGTAGCAACATGTGTGGTCTGTATAATGGTGCACAGGCTCACATTTTAAGACTGTGATCACTCGCCACATACTCACCCTGTGGCTGTCATAGTTTGAATTTGTGTGGTGTGCATTCTGCAGAAAGCTGTTCAACATTCATAACTTTCTTTGGAGTTGTACAGAAGTTGTATAACATTTTTGGCTCCACTCCACAAAGGTGGGAAATTTTGAAGCAAAACATTCCCAGCTCTTTGCACAGCATGTCTCAGACACGTAGGTCAGCACGTGTTGACAGAGTCAGGCCTTCTACGGCTCACATCGGGGGACTGAGGAAAGCTGTTCAAACTGTTCAGCAACACGTTCAGATTTGATTGGTATTCTTAAGTACTTGGTATCATTTGAAAGTGTGATAATGGCATCTTTTTGGCTCAAAAGCCTCACAGGCCTCACAGCAATCGATCACAGAAATAGAGTGCTTCAAGCACGAGATGCAACTCTTGACGTTGAGGTGGCAAATATCAATAGTCTGATTAAAGATCTGAAAAGCTTACGAGATGAATAGGACGCAAACGACAAAAGAAAAGGAAGCTTTTTGCAGAAGAGACAGAAGATGTAACAGACTACCCAAATCACGAGAACAAATTCAAACAAAGTTTTTTTTGTCCTCTTTGACTGCCTTCTTGGAAATTTGACGACAAAGTAAAATGCAGTGACAAAACTCGATTCGTTATTTAGTGTTTTGTGGAAATATCTCCAAGAGGAAGTCGTGCAAACAAATTGCACACGGAATATGCAATGGATGCCTCCGCAGACCTTGTGCAAGAGATGGAACATTTAAAAGTGATTCATTCAGCGAGCATTGGAGAAAATGTCCTGCCGCCTCTTCAGTTGCTGAACAGACTTCATTCCCTAAAACTGGATGCTTTGCTTCCAAACGTTGTAATCATGTTGAGAATCGTCTGCACCTTGCCTGTCACAGTTGCGCAAGCTGAACGTTCCTTCAGTACCCTTTCTCGGGTGAAAAACATGTTGCGGTCCACAATGCGTCAGACAGACTCACAAGTCTTAGAATTTTGTCCATAGAGGCCAGTCTAGCGCGAAAATTGGACTACGAACCAATAATTGACAGTTTTGCTAGATTTTACAAATCCCGTAAGGCTCCTTTGTTGTAAGAAAAAAAAAGGTAGATCTATGCTACATTGCAATTCGTTTTAATTTCTGTCATTGGTTTATTCATCTTATCTTCATTTTTAACTACGCGGTAAATCAGAAAAATTAAAATTAATTTTATGTTGACAACACCCAGCACTTGATGGAGGGGAACGAGACAAAGGGGGCTGGGGTGTGTGTGTGTGTGGGGGGGGGGATTAACTTTTATACAAACATTTCTTTCGCAAAATGCATTTCCAAGGGTAGTGAAGATGTGTGTGTAAGAGAGAGAGAGAGAGAGAGAGAGAGAGAGAGAGAGAGAGAGAGAGAGAGACAGTGTTGGTATGTTATAGATAAGCTACAGAAGTGATTATATATGCCTATGTACATTGTATTTGTTGGGTTATTAAATTGCAGGTGAGGGTGGGAAGGGCCGGTGGGGGGCCCGAAGATGATTGCTGCCCCAGGGCCCGACCAGGCTCTCGACGGCCCTGGGCGTTCTCAGTTCTAAAAGCCGACAGTAGAAACAGCACAAATTGTGTTTGTGGAGATGATCCGTATAAAAAATACTAATTGCACCTTTTTGTTGATTATATTTTTAATGTTTTTGGGTTGGGGAGGACCTAATTCTTTCACCCTCTCCTTGTAACGTTGGTTTAGAGAACTGAATTTATTTGCAAGCGAAAAATCCACTGCATTAACCCTGCATTGGAATTTCACACTCAAGTACATGGAAAATAGATTGGATAGTAGATGTTCAAAGTTCTTTTTTTTGCGTATCTTTTTGGGTGTTGGGGGCGTTAACATTTTTGGGCGGCAGTGAACGACCGTGCTCTAAGGGCGAGCCGCCCCTGGGCCAAAGAGGTAGAGCAGCGAGAAGTCGCCTTTTGATGTGAAGTCATAGAACCAAACACCACGGAGTGGCTACTTTTGCTTTAGAAAGTTGTAGAATCGAAACTAATGCAGATTATTATATTATACAACTGCAGACAGTTTTATCCTTGCCCCATTATTTTATAGATCTAGGTGTGAAACGGGCCATGATCAATTGCATGAAGCATGAACGCTAGTCAGACTAGAAAACATTAAACAATAACCCACAAGGTCACAGATGCGCCTTATTATGCTTTGAGCTAACGTGTGTCAACTACACAGTGGATCTAATGGAACAAGCTAGCATGATAGTGAGTAATGTGTCA